CCCCTCTTCCTCAGCCTCCCCGGCCGTGGCCTAGCTGCTTCAGCCCTCGTGCAGGGAAGCACCTTCCGCACGTTTTGCAGGTGGAGGGGGAGAAGCCCCAGGCGAGCGGGAGGGACCAGGCTGGTGGCTCTCCCTGGATGAGCCTTTTTCTTCTCTGTTCTGCAAACTACAAATATGAGCAATCCCCAGGCACACACCCCCCCCCGCCCATGGCAATAAGTCAGCAGAATTATGCCTTTTGGTGCTGATAAGAGTGCTGGGGTGGGAGGGGAGCTGGCTGTCTCAGATGAAGACATCTGCTTTACGGCTGGGCCGAGCGGTTTGCCCCGCGGTGAGTCTGCACCCTCGCGTGAGACGCGCCAGCGCTGGATTTGCATCCTTGCAGGCAGCAGCACCTTTGGCTAGCTATGGCAAAGGTAGAGCCTGCTGGGTCACGCGCAGATTTGGTCTTCTCTCGCCTTCCAGGTCATTTCTGACTTCGACATGACGCTGAGCAGGTTTGGGTGCAACGGCAGACGCTGCCCCACTTCGCACAGTGAGTTGAAGCCGTTGTTTTTACTGTTGCTAATTCTGTTTGTTTTCCGTGTTTGTGTTCTCGGTCTCTGTGGCTCCTGTTATCCTCTGCTTCCCTCCTTTCCCAAGCCTGACCGTTCCATCTCGTTCTCTCTCGGTGCAGCTCCGGGCCTTGGCTGCTTGCCCCCGGGCAGCCCACAGCCCGCTGCACAAGCTGTCTCCTGCTCTTGCTGCTTCCCCTTCTGATACTTGTGTCCTGCAGCTTGCTAGCGTTGACGTTGCTCTCTCGCAGCTGAGCAGTGCCCTACGGTCGGTGCGTGCTGCAGGTTCACAGCAGGAGCCGCTCTGTTGAGACCCCGTGGTGAGCCTGTGCTCACGTCGATGTGCCGCACGTGGCTCATTTTTGGGAAGAGAGGTTGCCTGGGGATTGCTCGTATTTATCATTTTGCACTGGAGACGCAGGATAGCTGCTTTTTAGAAAGACTTTTTATGTTTCTGGGCTACAGCATGGGCATTTTATTGTCTTTACAGATATCCTCGATAACAGTCGTGTTATCAGTGAGGACGGCAAGAAGAAGGTAGGTGCTGTTTTGTAAGGCACTGCTCCTTGGCTCTGTGGGTTTCGTCCCTGTCACCCATCACCAGGAGGTTGTCCTGGCTCTCCAAGCTGCGCCTTGCTGCCAGGACAGGGAGCGGGGCAAGTGTCCAGGCTGCATTTCAGCCAGTGGTGATGGAAGGAGAAGTTAAAAAGGGAAATTTAATTTGCATGGTCAGCTGTGGGCGTTCTCGGTCTGGTAAGAGGAGGAAGAGGGGGGGTGTGTGCATCTGTACGTGCAGTATTTGAAGCAAGGTGAGAGTGAACCAGGCTGCCGGAGGGTTAACGCTTCCGACTTCTCCAGATTTGCTCAGAGTGAAGTTGCTTAGTGAAATGGTTTTGGTTGTGTTTTTCGTTAGGAAGCGTGATGCTTTAGAGGCGTTTAGAAACGCTTTTTTTGTTGCTTACCGTCTCTTTAGACGTGATGTTCACTCTGTTCTTTTTTCCATCTGTACAATGCTCCAGCTGAAAGACCTGCTGCACTATTACTATCCCATTGAAATCGATCCCAACCGGACCCTGGAGGAGAAATGTCCCCTCATGGTGGAGTGGTGAGTGCTTGCGATGAGCGCGACCTTCTCCTGGCAACTCCTTGCCCCTGAGGACTACAAGACACAAGGCTTGGACCGTCTCTAGGCTTGGTGGCAATAGTGGGAAGCTTTAGTTGTTATTTTTCTGACTGCCTTAAGGTTGCTGCCCGGGAAGCTCACTCTGCTGCCTTTCCCTAGGTGGACCAGGGCGCACGAGCTGCTGTCGCAGCAGAAGATCCAGAAGGGTGACATAGCCCAGATAGTCAGAGAATCGGACGTGATGCTGAGGTACAGGCTCGGGGTTCAGTGTGCTGCCTGCAGCCCTTTCTCTCCCGCCTCTGTGCAAGCAGGGCTCCTTGCTTTCACCCTGATCTGCGTGCAGCCTCCAGAGCGTAGCAGATGCAAATCTCCCTTCCTGGGGCAGAGCTCTAATCATCAAAGAGCCAAAAGTCAGCGCCACGAGCCCAGCCTGAGCTCCCTCCCTGGCTGCAGGCTGCTCCGTTCACGGCTGACTCTTTCCTGCTCGGAAAACGCTTCCATGTCCCTTGAGTCTTGGCGAGGAGCGGCTGAGGGGATGGGTGAAGGGCAGAGCTCCCTGCACGGCTCGTCAGAGCCCTCGGCTGTTTGCGGGGCAGGGTAGGGCGGCAGCGTGCAGCTCCCCTCTTCCAGGAGAGATTTGCTCTCCGCTCGCTGTAGCCGCTGGGCCTTATCCAGGCCCTTGGCTCAGCATCAAATTTCACCCACAGCACAAAAACGTCACGCTAAAACTTGCTGTTAAGGCTGGCTTTGGCAGCGATGGTCCTAAAACCGGCTCAGGGAGCCTTGGTTTGAATGAGCTGCCAGTCTTGGAGAGGAGACTGTCTGGGTTTTCCTGAACCCAAGTTTCTCTTCGGCACGGAAATTGTGTCCGGGCAGACTGAGACTGTGACAAATTTGTCTGATCGTCCTCGCAAGCAGCCCGACTTGTTGCGCATCTCCAACACGCGGTTTCTGAGTGAGCCGGCGGCACCTGCTCTCACGGGCGTGTGCAGGCACGCCGTGCCTTGTGCTCCCGGCGAGAAGCTGGCTGTGTTCGGGAGATGCTGGGCAAATTGCTCGTGTGCTGCATGTTCCTGTGCAGCTCCTCGCTAGGTCGCTGCTCCCAGGAGGGGCCTGGGGTTCTGCAGTGCAACCCTTGCACACACAGTGAACGCCACAGAAATGCTGGTGCTGCAAAAAAACCCATGCTTTTTGCAGAGCTCACACGTGCGTTTCTGTTTGGGAAGTCCCAGGTAGAAATAAGAGCCTGGTAGCTAGGCTGAGAGCGCTCCCAGCCCACAGTACAGCAGACACCTCGCTGGGAGGTGGTAATGTAATACTGTGTAATGGACACTTCTGCTCTAGGGATGGATTCAATGAATTATTTGATCAGCTGCATAAGTACAACGTCCCCTTGTTCATCTTCTCTGCTGGTGTCGGTGACATCCTTGAAGAGATTATCCGTCAGGCCAACGTCTTCTACTCAAATGTCAACGTGGTCTCCAACTACATGGACTTCGACGATAACGTGAGTTTCTGCGTCACGTACGTGTGGTGAGCTTGCAGAGAGGAGGGTTGTTCGACTGGAATTGAGGGCTGCAATACATTTAACAGAGACGCTGCGAGGTTAAAAGTTGCCTATTAACATTTCTAAGTGTTTGATGCGTGTAGATGGAGCTGACCCTTTGCTGGGTCACGGGAAAGCCCTGGAGGCTGCTTGTGGCTGCCCCGTTTGCTCTGCCTTCAGGGGTTGCAACCTGCTGCCACCGTAGCAGCCCTCTGAACATCAGCTCTGTGGGGTGTTAGAGGTTCCCCTGCCCTCACCGGGAGCTGGATCAGCAGTGAGAGAGAGCGCGGATAAGGTGGGCAGGCAGAGGGCAGGAACAGCTGAGCGTCTGCTCGCGATCTCAGGGACTCGTCGCCTTTCAAACTTGCTTTCTGGTGGCAGAAGTGCGCTGCCGTCTCTGTGTCCAGCGCTGTGTGCTCTGTCCTGATGCAGGGTGAGGATGGAGTTAACCACAGACGTCTCGCCTGATCTGAAAGTTAGATGTCCTTTAAAGCAGCTTGGAAGGCTTTTGTTGATGTACTAAAGCCTGAAAAGTCCCAATGCACATTAGAAAATTGCCCGTCTCTTACAATGAAGCCCTCTGTTCCCACGGGTGGTATGTTGGGACAGGCAGTCCTCGGGGGAGCATGGGACAGCGGGACAGTCCTGCCTTCTGCAAGGGCCCTGCTCTGCCCTGGGGCTGCCCTGGCTGCAGCTTTCCGTGGCTCCTGACCAGCTCCAGGGCAGCGCAGAGCCCTGACCTAGGATCTCCATCCTTTGGGTTTGTTCTCACCTTTGGGAAGGGCTTGCCCTGCAAAAAGGGACTGTAGGGGACTGTCTCCAGGCTGTTTCATGGCTGCTGCGTTTCCAGACTCCTCAGGGGTGTCTCCAAGATGAGAGCTGGTGCCCTGGTAGCATTTGCCCATTCCAGAAAGGGTACTGAGGCTGTGGCACTGCGGAGAGATTGCTGCGGGATCAACTTGTCTGTCCTGTTTGCACAGGGAGTCCTCACGCATTTCAAGGGACCCCTCATCCACACCTACAACAAGAACAACAGCGTCCTGCAAGGTACGGAGTATTTCCAGCAGCTGAGCACTAGGACGAGCATCATCTTGCTGGGGGACTCCATGGGTGATTTGACGATGGCAGATGGCGTTCCAAGTGTGGAGAACATCCTCAAGATTGGCTTTCTCAATGACAAGGTGGGTGTGAGAAGCAGTTGCCTCTTCCCTGCCAGCCTTCCCCAGGTGCAAAGCCTGAGGGGCAGCAGAGAGGGGCAGGCAGCTGCCCGAGTGATTTGGGGGATGCGAGAGATTTGTACAAGCTCCCGTGGGGTGTGCGGAGGGAGCTGGGGGGTGTCTGCCGAGCTCCCGGTGTGCCTGGGGCATTGTTGGGGTGGTTCTTGACCCCTCTTTTCGGTAGCATCAAGAGATGCAAGTGCTGTGGGTGCAGCATCTTCATTCTTGGCTGCTGGCATTTACAGTCCTCTTCTCTCTCTGTGGCCCTCTCCTCTCCACCCCATCCCGGCGG